CGTTTACCCGACGGGTCCTTTATTCTACGTTCCGGATCCGGCGGTCCCGGATCCGGATCCGGGTCTACCCGAACAAATTTACCAAATTTTATAATTTCTAATAAAAATGAGAAAAAAATATTTTGTAAATTAATTTCTAACTAATGCAAAGAAAAAATCAAATAAGAAAAGAAATCAAATTAACTTTATTAAAATACATCACCCTAATCAAATTATATTGATAAATATATATTTTTTAAATTATTAATTCATTTATATCCGGATCCGGGTCTAATACGGGCCGGAATACTATATTCCGTATCCGACCCGTTTTTTGTTTGACAAAACGGATCCGGATCCGGATCCGGAAAACGGAATTAAATCCCTACCCATACCCGCATTAATTTCACGGATCCGGTCCGGATCCGGGTCTAGACCCGACCCGTTGACAGGCCTACGCTCGGCCCTTCTAATCTCCAATTAAATTAATCCCAAAAGGATTTGGGCATTCGGCAAATCCCGAACTTCAGAAGATTGAAGGTTTATTTTAGTAAATCCCGTAAGTCGTACAACATTAAACGCTCGGTAAATGGTAAATTTTGCAAATGGCCTGATTTGTTTGGATAGTGTCTTATATGCCAAAATTTATTTGTTTAAGCTTTTTTAAGAGTATAATCAAGATGATTATTTGTTTTGTAAATGGCCTGATTTAGTTTCGTTTTGATTATTGCCAACTTTCTGGGATGAGTGGCAATAATTTATGTCAAAATCCAGTTCCCTCATGACACGGCCTAAAATACCAAACACTACAAAATTTTAAATTTTTTATTTGCTCTTTACACTATGTATATACTTTTTATAAAATAAACTAGGTACTCTCTTTAAAAATATATATTAATAATTTTGCAGAAGATAATATAAAATTCATTGGCCTCCAATTTTCTAATAGCTAAGTGACCATTAGGGTTTTTGTTAGACTATCAAGTTTTTTTTTTTTTTTATTCCTTTTATAAGGTTCGAAGTCACCGTCGAATTAGAAAAGCAAAAAGAAAAAAAGGAGAGAAACCCTACTTTTCTAAGGTGTAGCTTTTTTCTTTCTGGTCGGAAAAGAAAAATATTTTTCAGTGAGTGAAGGGTGAAATTTAAGTAGGTAGAAGGTGAGAGCATTTGATTCTAAAACTTTTAATTTTTAGATTTTTAACTTTAATCACTAAATTAAATCGTCTTCAACATTTTAGAAAATATAATGTGACTTTTTTAATTAAATGTTTTAAAAATATAAGTAAAAGAACTCGAATCAAAAACCTCTCCCTCCTCTCTGAACCGCCTAACCCATAGGAAAAAAAAATAAGGAAAGAGCGTTCTACATTCCCAATCCTCTAGAAATGTAGGAGGAAAAAGGAGAGCCGCAAACTTATAGACAAGATTGAAGAAAACGTGGTTGGTTGGAAACCTCGGCCCTAGGCGGTTTTGCCACTCGTTCCTCACGGACTTGTACCACATGCAACTCCAATGATGGACTCCTCTGCTTCCATGGTGGCCATGCATCGGTTTGTTTTTTTTCTTCTCTGCCTAATTTTACTTTTCTATTTTCTTGCACAGGTGACTGGAACTTCTACCAAATTTTCTTCCCCAACCAAAGTTTCAAAACAGGTCACATGTAGCAAAAATGCACAGCTTCTAAAGTATTGTGAAAGATGCTATGGTGGCAATATGATATAGGTAGGGGTGGGCAAAATTATCCGCTAACCCAAAAACCCATCATATCCGATCCGATTCGATCCGAAAATTAGAATATCTGATTTTTATTATTTGATCGGGTCAAAAGAGGGTCGGATATCCGCTAAGATGCGGAGCGGGTTAGGGTCACATAATTAAAAATTCGCGGGTACCCGATCCGCCCCGCATATATATATTTTTTATTTTTATTTTTATTTTTATACACACACTATAAAATAATAAGTTAGAACTAAATAAGTAATTTTAATGAACAAATTGCATTACAAATATGAGAGACTATAGTTTATTTACAAGATTCATTTGTAAAGGCCATGATCTTATATTTTACAGAAAAAGTTTAATTAATGTGGAACATATATATTAAAAATTGTGCTACTTATTTCAAACTTTTATTGATTTTGAATTCTTTTAATTTTTTCCTTTATCTTATATTCTTTTCATATGCTTGTTTCTTGGTGGGAAACCTTTTTTTAGAAAAAAAAATTATTAAATCTTAGATGAATGTGTAAAATATAAAATTAAATTGGTATAAATTATTTTTTAAAAAAAAATTAAATGATAAGCGGGGCGGGGGCGGGGGCGGGTACTCGCTGATCCGACCCTATCTCAGCAGGTACCCGTTATAGGACGGGTATCCGCTGATATTCGGAGCGGATAAGGATCAAAAAATGGCTGACCCGCAAGGTGCGGGTCGAGTCAGCCAAATGATGAATGGGGCGGGTACCCGACCCGCGCCCACCCCTAGATATAGGGAAGTCAATATTTGTATGATTCAATCACAACTACAAAAGTTGGATAGAGTTCAAAATCTAAACTTATACAAGTCCCACATCGCATTCATGGAGAAGCTTGAACTTAAACATTAACCTAACACGAATTTGATTAAGACTTCTCTTCCAAATATACACATATTATGAATGTTATTTAAGATTTTTCTAGTGCACATGAGAATGTCAGAGATCCTACTTCTCTTACACGGCTTATTTCATTGTCCCACACAATAAACATTGGTAGAGTTTTACATCCAAATATAGACCAAAATCATGTGCTCGTGCTCGTAAAATTAGAACCCTTTGTACTGCTATTTTTAGGAGTTTCTGTAATAAAATGTATTTTAGCGATTTGATATATATGATATAAAAAAGTGATTGATAAATGTGTTGTCACAAATAAGGTTGCTTGTAACATTAATTTATTGTTGCGCTATGAAATTTTTTTTTTTTTTTTTTTACAACAATGGTAACTACTTAACACTGTCATTTATTTTTCTGGGAAGGTAGGCACTAAATGAGTCAGGATTTTGGAATAATCAAGGTTAACCTTGATAAATAATTTGTTGGAATGCTTATTGAAACTTGTCAAATATGTCATTCGATTCGATTCAATGTCTGATTAAATGACATGATAGTAGTGACCAAAATATAACTTTCCGTCATGTTAAGGTAGTTAAGAAAATTCTTTTGAAGCTTCCATTTGTTAAAATACAGTCCTCTAATGTTTAAAAAATCAAAAAAGAAAAAAAATTTAGGGATGATAGTGGGTTGAATATCCTCAAAAAACTTGCTTATCAAATCCTAACTCATATATCTAAATCTTTTTACCAAATACTATAGGATTATCCTACCGATTTTAATTCTTATTACCAAACCCTCTCATTTTAGGTTCGGATCATTCATCGGTACCTTCTACCCGTTAATCTGAATAATTTCCAAAAAAAAAGGGAATTAGCTTTTATTTTATTAACCTAAAATCAATACATATCATGTAAAATCAGCACACTATGTTGAATTTTAAACTTAAGTAGAATTATAGAGAAATGCAATATTTTATGATGAGTAAATTTAATAGTTTTTCAAAAAAAGATTCAAACAATTATCTCACATTTCTCAACAAGGATTTGTATAGAAAGTGAAAACAAACTAGAGAGAATATGCAAGTTTAACAAAGGTATTAATTCCTCTTCACACACATATTGTATGTTGGGTACCGGATATGAAATTATTAGGATTCTCCTATCAAATCTTATTGGATTATCTATTAGTAGCTTCTCGTAAATATTAAACCCTGACGAATTATCCATCAACGTCCAGATTTTATCAGATCAACTATTCGTGGGTATTAAATTTTACCCTATCCTTTATCATCCCTAAAATAGAATTGTATACAAAACCAACAATAAGATTCTTGCATATAACCATCCATAATCTTTTATATGAACGGGAAAAAACAAAAACATTGCGCTGAGAGTCGATTATTGTAATATATATAGCTTAACACAAAAATATGCGTGCAAGATGGGTTGAGACTTGAGAGGCCAACAGGCTACAACTTAACAAGCCTCCATTTTTCAACAACTATTCTTCTTTCTTTTAACTGCAGGCAGAAAAGAGGGAGATAGAGAGAGATGAGAGGAGAGAAACAGATAGAAATGCGTGAAACCTCAGAATAAAATTAGAAAAAATATATTAATCCAACTTGATTATTAATTTTTATTTTTAGCCCAGATTATTTGTATGATTCTTGAGCTTTATCTGACTGAATTAGAGAAAATCTATACAAGTTCAGAAGCTTCATTGGTGCGTCCCTTTATTGCTCTTTGTACAGATACATAGAAAGTTTATGCCTTTTGCCTTTTTTTTTTGTTATTATGCTTTGGTTTTCAGCTCAGATTTCATCATCGTATTTTTTTACCTGCTTTTTTTTTTTTTTGATAGGTATGCATAATTTCATTTATTGCTGTACTAGAGAATCATTTTTCTTTTTAGAATTTTTTGTGGGTGGGTTGAGATGGTGAATCCATGGCAATGCTTGCTTTGATCATCAGTATTGTAATTTAAGTGAAGTTCTTTTGTTGGTTTTTACTACTTTCTTAGTATTGTTTGAATAAGATGAGATGATATTACTTACGCTTGATAAAATAAATAGTTAAGAAAGAAATAAGCTGATTAGCATCTTGCTTGGAAACTTTGCATTTGGTCATCTAAAGATTGCTTTGCCTTTTAGCATTGTGCCAAGATTAAGTGAACCAACCAGCTCAGTTTTAGCTCATCTAATCTAAAAGATATCCAATCTTTCTTTTTTGGATACTATGTTAGTGTGGAGAGGAGGGAAAAGGGGTTGACTTCCCTTATGACGAGAATTATTTGGATGTCGATGTCTAATTTGGAGAAAAACTGTTTCTTTATGCTGTCTGTTGCAATCTATTTCCGAGTGTAAAATTTTGCCTAATGAGCTAAACTTGTTTTTTTTTCCCTTCTTCTGAAACATTGCAGAGCTTGGCTTTGATATTGGGGAAGGATTCATGGATGCCTCCTTAATTTTGGTATGCGGGTTCGCTGGCAGTTTGAATTCTGCTGCATACTCTAATTTATTTCCACCTTTGTGATCAATTTAGCCGTGCAATTGCTTGAGGGGGCTGCCGTAAGAATGGGAATGTGTATTCTGGTGCAGTAGTGTTATTTGCTGAAATGTAAATGAACTCTGGTTTGTGTTCTATGAATTCTGAGGTGATTCTTTTAAGTGTGTTGTTGCTGGCATTGTGAAGTTGGAATTACTTGTGTCTATCGTGAATAAGATAGTAATTTGTTGGGGATAGATTAGGTTCAATTGGGTAGGTTGAGTGAACAGGAAAAGACCTTAGGGAACGTGGTGAAAAGGGTTTCTTGTTTCAGGAATGGGATTGCCTCAAGTGTCTTCCAGCAAAATTGCTGAGGAGGTGACTGTATCATTACGCACATTGGCACAAACTCCACCTCGATTAACGGGTGCGAGCTATGATACGAATGAATTGCACATTGGTCGTCCAAGCAATCATATGCTCGGGGATCTCTCTTGCACTTTGTCAAGGGAGGTTTCAAACAATGCTGATGTCGGCAGTGCACATAAAGATGGCATGGCCAACACGCATAGATTAAGAGTTGGTACAGTAGAAACTAGATTTTTGCCATTTAATGGTGGAAGGATTGCTCAGACTCCTGCTTCAAGGATTGTGGGATTCGATTCAACTGGACCAAATACTACTCATCCTAATGTTGGTGTTTTTGAAGGACATAAATCTGCTGTTCCTTTTTCAACCAGTGTCATTGGTACCACTGAGGCAACTGGTTCTCTGGTTCGGAAACAGTTGTTTTCTCCTTTGAATGGCTTGCTTTTACCAGATGAATTTAATGATAGGTGCATAGACCCTGGAAGGGACATTAACAGGATGGATTCTCTGTTGTATGGTGAAAATTATGGGATCAACTTGCAAGAACATAAAATAAGTAATGTAAGCAACTCCAATCATGGCCATACCTTGTTTTCATCCAAATCTAAGTTTCTTGAATTCATTCATACTCACAATCAACATAGTGGGACAAACTCTAGCATCATTACAGATGGCCCTCTGTTTGAAGATGCGAAAGGTCATCCTGAAATATTTTATTCATCTTCCCTGGAGTAAGTTCTTATGGAAAATTGCCTAAATTAAAGTCTCAAAATGGGGCGATAGACATAGTGCAGGAAAAAGTTGTGTCACCATCATTGTCTCTGTCACCTCTTGGACCCAAGTCTTCTAGAAGAATGAGAACTTTGGAAGAGTATGAGGAAATGTTGGAACTTGATGAAAATTGTTTAACCTTGAAGGATATACGACAGTCACTTGAAGGAACTATCTGTGCCATACCATCTTCTCAAACAGAAAAGGATTCTAAAATGGCATGTGAAACATTTGAAGATATTGATGTTTTTCAAATGAACTTAGAGCAATTCACTCCTGAAAGTATAACTGCTACTAGAGGTAACTTGGGATGTGACTCAGCATTTACAAACCAATGTGCCAAATTAGGTAGGAATCTCAGTGGATTGTCTGTTAAAAGATCCTTGGTTGGTTCATTTGAGGAATCACTGTTATCTGGTCGTTTAGCATCTGGGATTCCGTCCCAGGTAAGTTTTCATGTTAAAACTCATACATCAGTTGTGTCTCATGTACTTTTCCATATACTCCCGATGTCAGTTGGCAAGTTCTTTGTTCAATTAGGCTTTTATGCTCTACCTCATTATACCCACTCTGAACTTTTTATGCAGAAATTTGATGGTTTCCTTGCGGTTCTTAATATTACTGGAGGAAGCTTCTCACCCCACCCACAGAAACTTCCATTTTCTGCGACAAGTGTGGATGGTGATAACTACTTACTTTATTATTCATCAATAGATTTAGGAGGGCAGTCGTCTCCTAATAAGTACAAAGCCCCAACAATGAAGAGGAGCTTTAGCAGCAATGGCTCCCCAACAGAAAGAAGTCGCTTGCGTGTTCCTATGAAAGGGCGTATACAACTGGTGATTCTTGTCTTAATGTTTTTGTATCTTGTGGATGAATATGTTGTACGTCTGCACCAGGTGACGTCCCAATGGCAAAGCAATTATATACTGTTAAAACATGCAAATATGCTCCTACAGTAAGTTCAAGTGATAAATTATGAAGATCAAGTTACAGATAAAATTGGAAGGTTGTTTGACCACTCATGTCTATCATGATTTTGAGTTTGTGGTTATTGTTTCCTAGCTGTGAAGTTAGGACTTCTGACCTTAAAGTCTTAACATGATTTGTCCGATAGTTCTTTAAAGCCTAATTTCAATGAATAACTGCAATACTTATTGCTTGTAATTGAATTTGCAACTGCTGGTTTAGTTTTATAGATTATTCAACAGGAGTGAATAAACTAGTTAAATTGATTATGACTTATGTTCGTACTGGCTATCTGTTTACATCTATTAGTTAATTAGCAATCAACTTGGATTCTGAGCAATGTGAAATTATTCTAGAAACGAGAAAGTGGAGACCAAGTATTCAATGTCATTTTTTTTTCAAATAGATGTACTCGTTTATTAACATGTTACCCTAAATAAGGAAGATGGACTTCATGAGAGCATTTCCTAGTTCCTTATTCTTTGCAAAAATTCATTAGCACATTATTCTGAAGTTGACCATAAACATAATTGAATAAACTTATGCGAATTTCTCCAAGTTGATAAGTCAATCTGCTTAAAAAAATCCACTCTCCTAGGAAATCAAACTGGAGTTTTCTTGTGCTCTGTGGTCTCACTCAGTTCAGACCTATTTGTACCTGGATATAAGTGAATAGAAGGAAGAACTTGAACAATAGTAAAAACCTTGCATATGTGCTGTGAAGGTTGCAATGTAAAAGTCTCTCAACTTCCTCCATATATTGTTGCATAGAACCATTTCTTAACTTTTTCTGTTTTTTTCCTTTTTAACTTTGCATCTGTTTCGTCATCTAGCTACTGTTGTGATTCCTGATTGGTTTAGCAATACAAATACATGAAGATTATCATTATTCACCATTGTAGAAAGTTTTTAGCACTCATTTCTATTTACTGTTACTTCTCATTCCATGATTAAGATCTAGATCTAATTTCGTGCTTCAAGGTATTGATATCTTACCATGTGAGTTGAAATGAACTCTGTTCAGATGAAATCCTTGAGTATAAGAAAACACAATTTTGAATTGTCTTTGGAACTTAAAAGGTTTCTTGTGGACTGTGCTAGCTGCTAAACATTTAGTTGTTTTCTTCTTGCGTAGATGCTCTTGGCTGTTTCTTTATTTAAGTTGATAATTGAATTTCCATTTGCAGGTTTTGAGCAATCCAGAGAGAACACCCATTCACACATTTGTTTGTAATTACGATTTAAGTGACATGCCTGCTGGCACCAAGGTACTTGTGGCTTTCATAAGCTAATCGAAACTTAACATTAGCATGCTCTTCTCTGTTTTTTACATCAGTACCTTTGTTCTTGTTTGCTTTTGTTGTTGAGATGGATTTGTGTTTAGTCATTTACTTGGTCTTCTACTCAGGTTTTGCTTAATAAACTAAGTTGAGATCAATCTGCTTGTTTACCTTTTTCCCCTCCTCTGAAACGAAGCTTTTATTGCTGATGAGCATATCACTTTTAGTCATTGAGAAGTGTAGACATCATAATTCACTTACTGGTTCTCGAAATGCTCAGTTGATGAAGCTGTATTTCTTAATAGAAAGTAGGTTGCTTCCAGTCAAGAACAGACTGGCAGATAGCTCTTCTGATTATCTTCCATGCTGCTGTTAATTGTGAATTAGCTGACTGAGCATTTTGACAGTTTCTATTATCCTTGATTAGTACATGTACATGATTTATTGTCAGAAAAAGGAAAGAACAAAAAGACAAGGTTTCTTGACTAGTTATATCTTGAATTGATCTTACCTCCATGGTTTTTGTTAATTGCTGTATTTTGAGTAGCAGATTCTTTATCATGCATATTTGGAGGTGGTTGTCATGAGTAAAGAACATAGATTACCAAGTTTATCTATTTCATCAATAAACCTTTGCAGACATTTCTACGCCAAAAGGCTACTTTAGCTTTAGACAGAAGGAGATCTGACTTGAAAAAAGAGGGCAAGTCACTGCAAAAAGTGGTGATTCTTTACAGCATGAAACAGTGCTTTCTGGTTCAGATGGAGTTCATCTGTAGAAAGATCAGATATTAAAGAACATAGGGGCAGTATAGAGTTGGAGAATGTACCTACTGTACCATCTAGTGTTACTGAAAGCAAATACGCAAATGGCACTTCAAAGGTCAATGACAGTACTGCATGTCCTGGTGTTCTCCGTTATGCTCTACATGTCAGATTTCTGTGTCCACACCCAAAGAAATATTCCAGAACATTTCAGAGGTGCAAGTCTGATACTGCTGCTCTGCCTGTGAGAAACAGAATGGACATTGAAGGTGAGAGGCGCTTCTATCTGTATAATGATTTGAGGGTGGTGTTCCCTCAGCGTCATTCAGATTCTGACGAGGGGAAGGTATGTCTAAAAGTCTATCTCTAGTGTGTGGTGTTCTGCTTTTGATTGGTGGTTTTTCGATAATTAGGGTGACACAACTGAAGTAAATTGCTATAAGAGACATGACCTTCAACCTGAATCAAGAATTCAGTAGGGAAAAGCAAAAATAGTAATCTCACTGTTTCTTTTTCAAATTTTATATGTCTAAGCGAAGATGTATACCTGCTTTGAAAGCATTTGGTTTGTTGCAGATAAATAACTATATTTAGGAATTGGGACTGTAACTGTAACTTGCCTGAGGACAAGATAATTGGTGAGGTTAAAACTGAATAATATGCTAGATAGCCTGAATTATACTAATTCTAATGTTACTGAAAGCATACACAAGTTGTTGTTGAACTCTTGTTCTCAATTATCTATTACTTTGTGTTCTAAATCCCCCTTAATTCATGTTTTTCTTTTTCTTGATTTTTCACATGCTAACTCGTTCAATTTTTCATTCAAATATCAAGTTTACCATCTCTGGGCCATGACTAGCTATATTGTCGTAGTCTGTTTTGAGCATGATACCTTCTATCTATGACTAGTAGTAGTTACTGCGTGTGGCCTTTGTCAATTGGCTGTGAGCCTTATATATGCAATCATCCACATAATTTCTGTGGATTTGTTTATGATTCTGTCATGCACAATTGAATTTTATAATTTGCACTTAGCAGTTGAGCATGAGAGAATTACAAGCAAATTCATAGATAATGGGCATTATCTCTGCTGCAACATGAATTGTAGTGCTCTAAAAGAACACTAAGCATGTATGATAGCAGTTTTTACTGATTGAAATGCCAGACCTACAGGATCTCTACTACTCAATGTACTCTTTGTTGCTAGTTAATGCGAGTCTTTGACATCCGAGAATATTTAAGACTCTCTAACTGGTTTTCAGTTTGGCATTGCAGTTGCATGTGGAATATCATTATCCATCTGATCCAAAGTACTTTGACCTTGACAACTAAAAACTCCTGTTAAGTTACCAACTGATGTAGCTTTTCTTGTAAATATCAGTACATGTATCTTCTTGGCCATTTACAGACATGGCCATAGTCCATGTCACCTGTAAATCCATCAGAATAAATAGATCATTCAGTCTAGTGAAAGAGTTGTAAACAGTGTAGATAAGCTTTCATGCTCCTTTGAAAAAGGACTAAATCAAAGCTAGAAAGTGACACTTCATCACCTTCTCATCATGGTGAAAGTCCTTCTGGCTGATATGTTTAGGTGCATTGCTCAATTTACTGTGTAGGAAAAATTTGTACCCATACCAACATTGTACACAGATTCTTTAATCCTTGCACATTGCATTCAAAGCCCTCTTATTTTGTACATTTTACCAAATTTGCTGGCTAAGTTTGTGTATACTAAATTTAAGCACATTCATACTCATATTCCTTTCAATTGCCCATTCTATACTCCTATTTGACAATGGTCAAAAGAAAGAACCATTGTCTTCCACCAATTTTAAAAAAAAAGGAAACAAACTTTTGTCAGATTGTAGTGCCCTCACTGAACTGCAGGAACCATCAGCATGGTGAGAAAAATTTTTGTTGAAAGATCCAAACCAAACTAGATATTGAGCTAATGGTGCATTCCTCCCAAGTAGCTGGTGTAGAACTCTCTTTTATTCTTCTTAATTTTACTTAGAAAACTTGGCCTACGTTTATACGAGAATGTTAATTAAACAAAAAATAAATAAATAAATTTGCAGCAAGGATTGGAATTTGAAGTTCATTGGCTATAATTATTCAGAATAATACATGACGTTTTCTACTTTGTAAATGTAATACATGACGTTTTCTCTTTGTACTTGAAATGGACAGGCAGAAAATAAGAACTCTGCAAGTTAGTCTTTTTCTTTTTCTGCAACTTTCACTTGAATATCAAGATGCAGGTCACCCATGCATGCAAAGAAAAGTACAAACATGGGAATAGAGTCGAAGTGTTCGAAAAGAATGGACAAACACAACTGATCATAGCAAGAAATGAAAACGTTCAAAAGTTCATTTTACCACCCTTGGGAAAAATAAAAAAAAGAAGATGGTTCTGTTTCATAAAAGATGGGTCCTTTTTTTTTTTTTCATGCAAACTTGTTATGCTTGTATTGAATGGAAAAGAGAGCACATGCCGGAGGGCAATGGGCTTTTTGTAAGCTCCATTTTTGAAGCATGCAACCTGTTGGAGTAAAGATCTTTTGCAGGCACCAAAATTGCTATAAAAGCATTGATTTGCTGGTATCAGTCATCTATTCCCAATGCATTTTTAGTTAAAAGTAAAAGATCTCTTGAAGTTGAAGGGACAGTTGGCTTAATAAACAATAACATGAAAGGCTCCCCTCTTAGATTATGAGTAGAAACTAGAAATCAATTGATTTCTATCTTTTTCATATGCAAATGAAGTTTGGAAGCTATTGGATTTTGTGGCCTAATAGCTGAAAGAAATGGGATTTTCCAGTTCCAAAGAAAATTAAATTAATTAAACACTAAAATCTTTGCAGTGCTATTGGATTTTGTTTAAAGCCCTCAACACTTGAATTAGCTTGAAAATGGATCTTCATCATCTTTTACTTTTGTCCTGAGTTACCCTTGTCTAACGTCTAAATGATCCTGAAGGCCAAAAAGGAATCTCATGACACTATGAGATAAAGAAACAGAATGGTTGCATGAAACAAAATAACCATTCCATCTTATCACTATCTTCTTTCAGTTTCTTATATCATTCATATTTCCAAAAACAAAGATGTATTGGCTTACATGATGCAGCTTTTCTGTTAACTCCAAACCCCGTCTTCAGATTTTATGCATAGTACAGTATAGATATGTAAGTTTGGTATTATTCTTGTAATTGGCCCAAAAACTGACATTATGAATCCCAACAAAGTTGCTAACTCATTGCCTCCATGTCTCAAAAATATCTTCAAAACTGTATATAATGCTGCAAAGTGGATAAGTTAGTCCCTCTTCTTTATTTTTGCAACCTTGGCTTCGAATCCTCTGTCCCCAAAGTAGCATCTGTCCCTTATTTGTACAGCTGTCACGTGTCTCTAGTCTTTTGTTAACCCGAACTCAAATAAACGATAATAATCTATTTACAAGTTTACTCAAAATCAATTAAAATAGATAACTCAAAACTTTTTTTTATTTTCTTTTTAACAAAAAAGAGTCTTGTTGATCATAAACATAGAAATTAACTAAAACTCTTCTTTATTTTTTACCCCAAATCAATAAAACTCCTTTTTACCACAAATAAGGGACAGAGGTTACTTTGAGTACAGAGGATTTGAAGCCTGCAATCTTTGTTTGTCTGAACATTTGAAAATGACAAAGAAAAAAGTCTAGCATTGATTTGGTCATGCTCAGCGCTTTTAAATGAAGCCCATGAATATATTATCTTATATCTTATCTTACTGTATATAAAGGGAGAAGACAGGGGTACGGTGTAAAATTTTTTTTGTCACTTTTTTTTTTTTTATCCTTCCACTGACAAGCTAAAAAGTAGATTCTAATAACTGCCAATAACTTCTCTTTCTTTTTTTTTTTTTTTTGTTTAACAAAAAAAAAATCACATTACACAACCTGATAAAACCTTTTAACTGCTCATTATTTTTTTCTTTAATTTGCGCTCTATGTACCCTCACACTAAAAAGCTAATTAGTAGATTCCAATAACTGCCAATAACTCCCTTTTTTTTTTTGTTTAACGATAAAAAAAAATCACATTACACTACCTAATAAAACTTTTTTAATAACTGCTCATTATTTTGTTCTTTTAATTTACACCAAGTATATATAGGGACAGACAAACACCTCTAGAAATAGCTCCAACAAAACTTTTTTAGTTCTTCTTCAAATCATAATGACACGCCATTTTTCACGTAAGAACTAGTTGCACTAAATTCGTGCCCATGTTTTGGTAGACTGATCCAGTTCCCCACATCCCACACCTTTGTTCGCCTATAAATACCCCCCAAAATTCGGCATCCCAAATTCATATCCTAGATCTACAGTTATAGATTAATTGTATCCTGCAACTGATGGTAAAGAACATATTAGTAATTGTTGGTTCGTCTTGCTTAAGTTCAAGAAAACTCTGAAATGGAAAACGTTGAAGCCAAGCACATCCATAACTCAACTCTTAAAACCCATAAACTTTCCTTTATGGCCCAAATTTGCTTGAGGCTTTTGGCCACCGTAGCCACCCTCGCTGCAGCATGGATTATCCTCACTAGCAAGCAAACTGTTGCGGTTTTTGGGATGGTTGTTGATGCACGTTATAGCTACTCTCCAGCATTCAAGTAAGAAACACTAGTACCATCTCTAACCATATTTTCTATATGCATTGCTGTATTTGGATTTCATAGATGAATTTGTATATATGCCTGAAATTATTATTTCGCGAATGTGCAGATTCTTCGCGTATGCCAATGTCATCGTGTGTGCAGTCTCGGCTTTATCCTTGCTTCTTCTCCTCGTCATTAGTTACAAATCTCTGGTTGGAATGAAGTTTTTCTACTTTTTCCTCCATGATTTGGTATGTCATGATAGAAAATTTTGGTGACCATTCATGTTACAGTACTATACTGTTGTAATTCCAAGAAAAAAGAAAGAAAGAAATGAACATGTTGAACCTCTGAGTCGGTTTTCGAATTTTGATGAATTTTTTTTGACAGATGGTGGTTACGCTACTGATGGCCGGATGTGCAGCAGCAACTGCAATTGGATACGTTGGACAACATGGGAATAGCCATACTGGTTGGATGCCAATCTGTGACGACTTTGGCAAATTCTGTAGAAAAGTTGCTATATCTGTGGCACTCTCCTACTTTGGTGTCATGGTGTATCTCCTCCTCACAATCATATCAGCTGTGAATTCTAGGTGGATTCAAGTTTGAAGTTCTTAGTACTTGTAATAGTTGAAGAAGATAATATGTTTCGTGTGATTTATGTTTGCTGATGTCCAGGATCAATGCTGTAGGAGTTGTGTACTTTCAGTTTGTTTGCCAGCAAAATGCTTCTGTATCTTTTGTCTCTCTTCTACTTATGGGAACAAAAATGTGAAGTCTTGTGGTGCAGAGAATTGCTGACAGCCTATCCATTGTCCTTTTACCTTCTGGAGAAAGTTTTAACAGAACAGAAAAAAAAAAAAAGCAAAGAATATATACAAGAGTGGAAGAATTTTATAATTAATTTGAAAAACTAAGTAGATAGTTTTGTTTTAACTGAAAAGAAAAGAAAGTAAACGTCATATATATATGCTGTAGGAATTCAAGAATAAAATGTTCTGTTTCTTGTAATCAAATTTAAGGAACGCAAAATTTTAATTGGAAAAGGCGAGGTACATTTTGTGTCATTTTTCCTATTTAAAAAACTAGTCTAATATAAAAATAAAAAATTATCAGTATTAAACTAAATAATAAATGCAAAATAAAATCTTTTAATCCAGCACTCAAAATTTAGCTTATCGACCAAAATATGACTTCATGAGTTCAACAAATAAAGCATAAGGGGAAGGGTATCTATGGAATCACACGCTGTGAGGAAATTACACCAAAAGAAATGCTAATGCCTCATATGTAGTATAGATGTTCAGGATTGACTCATTTGTCAAAGATCTTTCGAGCCAGAAGCAACTTGGACTCTACAAGGCCAAAAATGCAGAAGCATAATTTAGAATCATTTCCCGGCTATGTCAAGTCACAGAACCCCAGCTAAAATTCTTTTTTCATTTTGCATTTCTATCAAATGGTAGATCATAACAAATAAGGGTTTGGTGTTAAGATGTCAGCAATTACAAACTCAAATATGGCATTGTACAGAAAAACTAATTATCCTATCACTAAAGCTACCAGTACACTCATAGAACTTTTTTACAAACTAATAATTATTCCAACGTAAAACAAACTGATAATTGCTTCACATGAGAACCAGACGAACAGCAACTGAAATTTTACAATATAACAATTGTGTTATAAAGTTCCTTGTTCCAACCAAGACTCTTCACAAAATGAGAAGCCTTATTAAAGAGCAATCTAAGACAACATTTGCATAAACATATCTAAATTACAAAGCGAAAATACAACCCTTTCCTAAAACACATTATTTTCGCCAAAACAAATTACCCCAAAAACACAAATACCATTTCCAGAAAAAAGTTTTACTTCCCCTAACCTTAATCTTTCGTAATGTACTCGTCCTTGCGCCCCTCGAACCCAGGCCTCATGAGCTTCTTCTCCCTTTTAGCAATCTTCCTCATCTTTTTATCCCTAATCCTCCCTTCAATGTTCTCCTTCCTCTTCTGCTGCTTCCCCTCCTTAGCCTTCTCCTGGCCCTCAATCCTCTCCTTCCACTTCTCTGCATTCTTTTCCTTCCTCTTCTTCTCCTTCTTCATACTCTCCCTCAACAACCTTGGATCGTCATGCACCTTCACTCCCATTGCCCTATTCTCAGCTGCCCTCCACCATTCCCTCTCTGCTACCCTGGGATTCTCTTTCTTGACCTCCTCCAACCGCTTAGCTCTATCCAACTCCTTCACCTTCGACATTTTCCTCTTCTTTTTCCTCTTCTCCCCTTCCATCTCATCGTCCCCTATCTTCACTTTCCCATACTCTATTATCTCTTCACTGTCATTTTCCACCACTTCAACACCCTTCCCACTGCTCCCTTCACCATCCCTCTTTCTCTTCTTTTCTCCTCTATGATTATCTCTATCCTTATTATCCTCCCTCCCCTTCCTAGCACTCCTATTCCCCTCGCCTCGATTCCCGCGTAACGACTCAATCTTTTTCCTCAATTTCTCACGCAATTCTTCGTAAGTAACCTGCTTTTCTTGACCCTTTTCACCATCATTACCATCCCCACCATTCTTCTCCTCTAAATCAATAGCCCTCGGGACGTCTTGCGGGGGTATTTCAGCAACCTCACCGCCATGGGCACTGGTGTCCAGGGATTGTTTGAGAAGGTCGAGGGTGGAGGAATGGGAGATTTTGTCCGGGTCGAGGCGGTTGCGGCGGGCAAGTTTGAGGTTTTGCTTGGATTGGCGTTTGAGGGAAGCTTTGGCAGCTTTGGAGAGGCCGTGGAAGTAGGGCTTGGGGTTGTCAGAAACGTCGTCATCAGGTGGGAGGTAGAATCTTGCTGGGATGAGTTCGATTAGCCTGTCGAAGAAGTCGCTGTGAGATTGAATTAGGGCTTTGAGATCGGCCGTAGAACGTGTAGGAATAAGAGCTGCGGCCGACGAGTCGGTCGTCTTCTGGTTCTTCTTCTTCATTCTATTTGTCTGAGAGCGAGCGAGAGGACCGGGAGGAAGTGAATGAGTGTGTGTTAGGGTTTATGTTTTCTGTTTAAAATGGAGAGGGAAGGAGGCCGAGGGGGGGTGGGGGGAAGGCGCTGACGTGGCCTGAGGTTGATTTTGCGCCCTTCCCATCACTCCTTTTCTAAATACTAGGAGGGATCACCGCGCATAGCGCGGTGGGTGAAAGCAGTGATGCACAGTGATGCCCAGTTGAATAATTAATTTTGTAAAATTAGTTAATTCAAAGAAGAATCAATGCATTAACACTGATCGTGGGGTAGTGGTTGCTTGGTTTAGCTAAGAAGAAGTGGAAACTACCAGTAATGTATTCAATCGATAGGTAAATTACACTGCACGGTTCAGCTAAATTCATTAAGCATCCGAATAAATATTGAATGTGTGATACCAAGGAAAATATTTTTCAACTCCGGTATCATCGAAGATTAAAACTGTAAATATATTTTCAGATTCCGGAACAAAGACCAGAGTTTCATTGTGTTGCAATTGATGTTGAAGAACGAAATCTCTCCAGTTTCGATGAAGGCGTTTATGCTTTACAGCAATTTGAGTAGTTTTTTGTCCAGTGTTGATAAGTAACATGGGAGTCTTGATATCATTGATGAAGTGATCAACAAAGCGCGGAATATTCTATCATCAAAAGGTGCAGATTAGAAGATATGCAGAAACAAAAGGAAATTGCTTGCGAGAAAGTTGAGATGAAAAAAGAGAATGCAGGTAAACATAGAATAGCTTACCAAGCTGTTTGGAGTTGCGGAGTTAAAGATTTGATAAAAGCACACTGAATCAGATAGATCTTGACAGAAATCTGGTCTTAGCGAGGAAGTAACTTGCTGGTGTGTAGCGGCCATGTGGATATCATCTGTCATCAAATGACTGTGTTACATTAAAATAATATACTATATAGATGAGGATATGAGATAGGTACAGCGGTATTTTGACCTCTTGATGCAATGGCATTCATGTGCAATAGATCTGGTAGGGGGGCGGTCCAAGGCAGAAGAACTTGTTTTTGTAGTTCACAAAAGTGAATAACATCAAATATCAGATTCCCGCTATGTCGTTTGCAGTCTGAGAAGAGGGAGCAGAATGGACGCGAGGAATAAAAGGAGCGGATTCATGAGAGGACATATATTGTAATGCCTCAGTAATGACAGCAGCATTGTCATTACCGCTCTTCAAGGCCTCGGCTCCTAAGATTTCACTATGCATAGAAGAGTGATTCGCACCATCAAGGGTTTCATGATGCGAATCAGGGAAAGAAACACCCGATTCCATATAACCCAGTGGAACCTTACGAATACGTGGGAGTAAATGCGCATTCTTTTTCTTGGCAGCTCTATTTTCTTTCCGGCGTTGCAGAAGTTGCATTTTTTTCGAAGATGGCATTTCTGCGTATTTTTTGCGGCGAGTAGCATTTCCATCCATCATTTTTTAGTAAGAGCAAAAAATGTCGAAGGACTATATAAAGAAAGGAATGTCTAACTTAGCAAAAAAGAATGTAAATCGAAAACTGGCAGAAAGCAGAGCAGGCAAAAAACAAGCGAACACAAAGAGATGAAGGAGTTAATAGCGGCAGCCGAGCAAAGAACAAATGCTTACATAAAAAATAATCAGGCATGTAAGTATAGCAGCAGAAACAATAGAATAACACGTATATGCAAGAATAAGGATCACAAAAGATACAGGAAGTCAAAAAGTCACAAACTAAAAAAAGGAAAAGCTGGAGCAGGCCATAAGTGCTGATGCATCAGAAAATATATCCCAAAGATGCACAAATTAAGGATAAAATATAGAGAAAAGAGCAAAACGAGAACAAAATCAGAAGAGCTAACCTGTGAACACGAAGAAGCTCAACACCGCAGAAGTGAATAGCAGCAGAAACTATCAAAGAAATGGCAATCATGTAAGAGGTCATAAGAAAAGGTGAAAAAAATGGGAGAGAAAAATAGAAGCTAATTCGGTGATAATAATTTAGAAGGGGCAGACAAAAAAAGAGGAAAAATAGTTGAACCAGTGCATTAGAAAGCCGAGAAGCAAGGAAGAAATAAAAAGCAAAGCAGCCTGATAGCAATCTTTGAAATATATAAACAGTTAAAGAACAACAAATTAAGCCGAATATAAAACCAACATGCTCACCAGGAAAGCAAAAACGACAGCACCAGTGCAAATTAAAACCAAACTGATAAATTAGGGAAAATGAAGGTTCAAAACAGCCAAAGAAAACGAAGAACAATCGGTATGAGGTAGTTCCCTCTGGCTAACAAAGAAACAAGAGTTTTAGAATAGAGAAAAGAATGCAGCGGGTGCACAATTACCATTGTTCATGATGATGCTCAGTAGAAAATCCGCCGCGGAAAACCAGAGAAACTCTGTATCCATTGTGCAAATGCAAAACACCAAACAGTGTCAATCAACCGCAGCAAAAGGAAGCTGATGGTAGACAATGGCGAAAAATGACGGTTGTTTATAGATTTACAAACATAACCTCAAGTAAAGGACAAAAGGCGACAAGGTCCATGGAGTGGAATCGTAAATATAGTCACAAGGGATGGGTAATATAGAAAATTAAGGTAGCAATTAATCAGGTCAAGTACAGTCACTTGTCGGCAGAAACAGGCTGGTGACAAGTAGTGACTGATGAGGAACTCGAGAAAGCTTGCTCTGGAACTAAACAAACAAGATGCAGGCTTGTTTGTAAAAATGAGTCAATCAGATTAGCAATAAGGAGTTTGGTTACGACAGGAAAAGTAACGAAAGAAAAGAATAAGACAAGCATATTTCTTGGCTAATAACTACATAGAATTGGTAATTAAATGCGATTTTTGTGGGTAACAAAAAGTATTAATACTAAAAAAGGCCAGCAATTAAATGTGATTTTTGTAGCAATAAAACTGCCAAATCAGAACCGAATTAATAAAAGAGTAATTGAAAAAAACTGATAATTAAAGTCCATTTGTTGGGCAACCCAAAACAAAAGAGGACATTTTCTTAATGAAATTTGGAAAAAAGGAAATTAGATGTGATATCTCTGACAAGAAAAGAAATGTTGCTAATAATTGCAAAAAAGTTATGAATTAAATGCCAGTTGTTGGGTAACAAAAAATGGCGATAAAAAAAAATGGTATTATTTATCAGTTATTAACAATGTATTCTAAAAAGTTGGTAATCAAATATGATTTGTTTGCTAACAAAAAAAAGAACACAAATAAAAATAGGTAAGCAAATAATTATAACAATTAATAGTCGGGAATCAATAATTAAGCATGGTGTGTGGCGTGACCAGGTAAAATCAATTGAAGTGTAAAATTTTCACAATTGAAGGATAACAAAAGCAATTTTAAAAAAAGATAATATATAAGCAATTATTGCAAAAAAAGATAATATATAAGCAATTATTGCAAAAAAAAAATAATTATTAATAAGTGCAATTTATCTGGAAACAAAGGGAAAGTAGTAATAATTGTAAAGAACCGGGATATCAAGTTTTTTGGCAACACAATCTATTGTTGAGAAAGGGAAAAAATGGCATCATTAATAAGTCATTAACAATTAAGAATAAATAATTGGTAATTAAACGTGATTTATTGGTTAAAAAAAGGGAATCCAAATAAAAAGAGATAAATAAATAGTTATAAAAATTAACAACGGAGAATCGATAATCAAATGCGGTGCGCGGCGTGGACAAACGATAAATGACACCAACGGAAGCGCACCACATTGTTGATTGTTTACGTAAAATCGATACCAAATAAACCCCCTCTCATTCTAAAAAAAAAAAAGCATGTGCCAATAATTAATATAAGGCAATTACAAGAAATCGATAAGTAATTGCGATTTAGTTGGAAAGTCCAAATATGTCAATAATTGTAAGAGGGGGATAGCTAAATGCGATTTGTTACGTAATAAGTAAAAATCGAGTTTATTAATCAGTTAACGAACAATTAATTGGAAAGAATTTGATAATTATGTGCGTTTTTTTTAGGAACCACAAAAGGCATTCTTTAGCTAACAATTGGGGAAAATGCTAATTAGATAGTTTAAAAAGAGGGATAATTCCAATTCAATAAGGGAATTATTGGATAATTCTGCCGGGATAATTCTAAACCAACAAGGGAATGAGAGGGGCTGTAGCATCCAAAAAAAGGTTATTAACAAGCACTTCCATCCAATTTTAAAAAAAGAAAAGGGAAAAAAAACCAAAGGACGTGGGACCACAATTTTGCGGCAGGCTCCAATGTAGACATCCAAGCAAACAAAGAAAAGAAAGAAACAATCGGCTGGACGGACCAAATTCACGCGAGCGAATTCACACGAGGCAGACGACCACCAATCGGCCAATGGAAGCTCGCCACGTCAGCAATCAGAACTCGATTGAAAAGCTCCCCATTCCCGCATAGACTAGATATGTTGAAAAATAAATTTAAAAAGGAAAAACTTAATATAGATGGGACGTGAAGTATAAATCCATTTTTGTAAACAAAATTCTACCTACTTTATTTGATCAATCTTCCAGATAACCTCCCTGTTAGTAATTCTTTTTATCTTGGAATTTCTCTTTTCATTCTCCACAAGCCTGTTGTTAAGCTAAGAAGACAAATTGCACCTAAGAGAATGTTCAGGTCTGTCGGTTGAATTATTATTTTTAGAAGTTTTTGTGGAAAAATATGTTGTAATAATTTGATATATATACAAGATAAAAAGATAATTGAAAAATGTGTTCACGGAAAACGTAAAAAGTTTTCTGCGTAAAACCACAATCCAAACCCTGATTTGTCCATTCAGTACAATATGCACAATGACTGCTCTGCATGAATAATAGCAGTTTGATAATGCTTTTCTTGAATGGAAGATTTCTAGATATAAAGGAGAACATCTAAATGCATTTTTGCAGAAGTTGCATTATCTGCAAGTTAAAAAGACCACTGCAAGTTATAAAGGAGTAAAATCAAGTGCTAAAATGTTACTTATTAAAAAGCAAAAGTATTTTCCATTTGTCTTTCCAGACTCAGAAAGAGTTGTTTCTTTACAAACTGAACTCTAGTTTCACAGACAACAAGAACTTATAGGCCGGC